AATTGTGCTATTTAAATATTTCCTTTTATAGTTAAAAGAAATTTATATGTATTCACAACACAGCTCCTCAACTTTTAATATATATCTTTTTCCGTAGTTATTATTTAATTATATAAAATATTTTATAAATATTGGTAGTCGCATATTTATCTCAATATATTTTTCAGAGAAACATCATTTTTTTGTTCTTCAAATAAAGATACTTCTGCGAAAGAGTAACATATTTTTAATGTAACATGTTTTTTTAATAACACTTATAAATACTATTCCCAAAACGTATCGGCGTCGTACCACTAATAACTATTTCATTGTCTTTCTAGTCAAATTGAAACAATTTCATTGTATGCATCACATTTGTCATATTATTTCTCTCGACTAAGGAATACTTCTAGTTATATTGGCAGTTACAATTTATCTTGTCAACAATTTCCTCGTTACTTACAAACATACTTGTATACGTTACTAGTGTCCTTTGTATTATTATCAGCAAAACATCTATATATAATCCGCACATATGTTTCTGTTATATTCCATTAGTTGTTGAGCTTCGCGCATTATATCAAAATAAATATTACAAATAAAATATTCAAAAACGTTAGTTACTAAGACAAATCACCATGAGTGTTGGCGAAATAATAACTTTTGATGGACCATACACAAGAAACAAATATAATCAGTTTTTCAATCCAAACATTTGTCATGTTTGTAAATTGCCCAGCAAACATTTAATACCATGTAATAAGTGCTATATAGTTTCTTATTGTTCCAAAAAGCATGAAAAGATACATGAAGACTCACATCTGGTATTCTGCAGAAATCTAGCAAGGATAATAGGAGACAAATCGGATTGGAACACATGTCGTGATTGGAAAAACTGGGTGCAATCTCGATTGGAAATTGTAAGAAAAGTATGTCAGAACATAATGTACCCGCAAGATTTCGAATTAATCATATGCGCAAAATCGTGTTTTAAATGTTATCGACAGATAAACTTAAAACCATGCGTCATTTGCTATTCAGCTAATTTTTGTGAGGATCACCAAATGCTATTTAATCTAGAACATAAGGATAACTGTAAAGAGCTGTTACTATCACTGAACATTAATATCGCCTGTATAAAAGACAATATTTTGCATTTCTGCCTAGGTAAATTGGAGTTTACCAAATTCCCTGATGCTAGACCTTATCATAACATGATTACATTTATTAACAGATATTTAGTCATGGAAAATCTAGATAACATTAAAAAAAAATTGTATTCCCCTATCCAAAGTTTCTGGACATTAGAACATTATGTGTGTTCGGATTATGTAACCGGTCCTCTGACATTACATTACGCGTTACAAGAATCAAAATTGTTATTTCTTCCGCGTAATGATTATATATTTATCGTCCATATTATAGATGCAAGTAAAACAGATGTAATATGTTTAAAAGTTTGGCATATTTTCCTACATATCTTTTCTAATATAAAAGAATTATATATTGTATTTATAAAATCGCCAATATTCGATTCGTGTGAACTAGGGACTGTTTGTTCAAGGTGTCGTAATTATAATCAGAAACTTTATGTTGAAAATGTATCAGAACCGTACCACAGATATGCGTGCTTAAAGTCATTTAAACAACCTAATGTGATCATAATACAGGACACACATTTGTATATGGTAGGAACCTGGCGTGAATCTATACCAACAATAATAGCACAAAAATGTCCTTTACTTTTTACCACTTTTGATATAGGCGAATTAAATTACGTTAGAGAAAAGATGCAAGAAGTAACAGGTGCAACGAGAAATCAACTGTACAGAAAAAATAAATTCCGCAGTTATAGACCATGTAAAAACCGTATCATTAATGGATTGTATTACCGAAATGCGCATTTTATTATGTATTTATGATTTTAAATTATTTAACCCAACCAATCACAGGCTGAAGATCAGGAGTTATTTTATCATAGTTTTCAATTAAGTATAGTATAGTATTGTAGATCATCCGTGTCCTTTATGTAATGAGTGATAAAATATTTGCAATATATTTTATATAGATTATAATCCTTATGCTGTACCCTTTAAACAATATACGTAACTCATTGAATGTTTTACGATTTTTATGTTTTAAACTGTCAAAGTATATTAAAAAGTATAAAATTAAAAACTTAGAACTATTAATATCTTTCGAGTTTTGTATCTGTTATTGTAAATTAAATACAAGTTTAATCAAAGTTGCAAATAAAAACAAGATTTTTTAATATTATGCATGCACTAGTAAATATATCTTATGTATCTTTCCGCTTTTTCTGTAAAATTGTAGCACATATACATTTTGTCCCAATATTTTTTGATCATTTTGCCAATGCATTTCTAAAGATAACCAACATATAAAATGTCTCAAATTCTAGGAATTAGTAAAAATTCTGATACTGCATAGTACTTATATTTCATTACTTCGTTTTTTACTGTCCATGTGATTTTTGTTTATTGTGCATAATAACTGAATAATTGCAACATATTTTATATGGATTACATTCTTTATACTTTACGTAGTACCAGAATCTATAACTCATTCCATTGATATTACAATAAAAATTGCCAAAAAAATATCGACACATACAAAAACATATCCGAAACTATTATTGGTGCCATCGATTATTATATATTATTCGTAACTGTAAATCTAACTGCAAATAAAATTTGAATTTTTAATAGTTTTATTTGCAAATATATTATATTTTCCCCCTTCTTCCTTTAAATATATAACATATGCACAGTTTGTTTCAATATGAACATATCTCCTATGCGCGTTTGAACATAACACATAATCCAATGACTAAACTTAACTTTAGGTAATTACATAAAAACTCAAATATAAAATAGGAACATAAGTTTCGGTCTACAACCTCGCTTTAAGCTTTAAATCATAAGCAACTACTAACTGACTAATCACAATCGATTATTCTTGAGACGTAAGGAAAATAATTGACTATGGTTGATCAGTTGTTTAAGGCTTAAAGCTTATAGCGAGGTTGTAAATACTAATGCGTCGTCTACAATGGCAATATGAGTAGTAGTAATTAGTAGTAGTAATAAGAAATAAGCAGTAAGTAAATAGA